ACACAGGCTGTTTTGCCTGAGTAGCAGATTTCCATATACCTCATTATGAGGTTGGGTTTTTTTGATTTATATAGGCTCTGTTCCTTCAAAGGGATGTACGACTGTAGACCTTTATACGTACCAAAGTGATATCTTATCAAGTACTGAGGAAAATACAAGGGCAGGTCCCTTTGGAGAATAAGAGCCTTGTTCTGCAGCGAAGAACTTTCTTTCCAGCCACTTTAATCTTTCATGGAAACAGTATGTAAACAAGGGGCCACAAAGCAACTTCGCTTTTGAAGCTTTTTAATTGTACCCAACAAGGTTCTGGATGTTTAGTGAATGATGTAAGCCACAGTGTGTAATGCAAATTCGTCTCCCTTTTGATTGGTAAAAGACTATAGGAAAGATTTAGGTCAGTACTGCTAAAAGAAAGTAGCATGGACTTTAGCTGATTGTTGCCTTATACAAGCTGATTTAAATAAAAAGGGCTAGACCTTCCCACACCAAAGAAGCCATTATCCTCAGCCATAGCAGGCATGCTTCAGTCTTCCATCCTATGATTAAGGCAATTGATTAAGGTGCCTAAATACACCTCTGAGGTCATCTTATTTCTGTGAGTTCCTACGTACAGATTCCCAGTCTGTGCATGGACAGAGTTAATATCTCTGTTCATATTATTCCCTTCTGGGAATGGACAAAGTCGTACAATCAGGGAATATAATCATAAACCAACGTAGACTGGAGGGAACCTCTGGAAGTTATCTGGCCAAGCCTCTCCTTGAAGCAGGGCCAGCTTAGATCAGCGTACTCGTGGCAGTTATTCAGCTGAGCTTTGAGCACCTCCGAGGATGGAGGTTCCCCAGCCCCTCTGGGCCTGCCTTCCAGTATTTGATTGCTCTCATTGTGAAAACGTTTTTCCTAATAGCTAACCAGAACTTCCTTTGTTGCAACATGTTTTCATTGCCTTTCATCCTGTCACTGTGCACTTACGAGAAGACTCTGGCTCCATCCTCTCTATATTTTTCCATTAGATAATTGAAGGCATCAATATTCCTTCAATAACAATATGCCTTCAACTCCCCTCTTCAATATTCTCCCCTCCCCAGTGTTCTCTTAAGACTGAACAGACCCATTTCTTTCAGCATCCCCCCTTACATCATGTACCTAATAATCTTTCCGGCCCACTGCCCCCTTGATCTAGTAGGTTGACATCTGTGTTTATATTGGGAGGCCTAAAACGTGAGTAGATGGCATGGCTGACGTGCATCTGGCCATCTACTAGTCCTCAGTCCAAATTATTTTGCTTATTCTTAGCTGGTTTGACTGAAGGTGGGTTTTTGAATAATTCCAGACTCAGTCCTCTCCTCCCACAGTAACAGGATATCTTAACTGCGGTGCTCCACGTCTTATTGATGAGGGCTACGAAACAGAACTGTTTACAACGAAAAAGCTATTTCCCGAGAGAATGCTTTAGATTAGTGATACTCTTGATTAAAGTAGTTTAATTACAGTGGGTCGTGGTATAACCTGTTTTTATAGATGGTATCACTCAGTGCTTTCTGTATCGCCACAGCGTAAAATACACTTCCTCGTCATGGCCCTCTGGCTTTAAGCACAGGGAGAGAGGACAGTGTAGAAATCACTTTAAAATCCCAGGGACTGTACGTGTAATGTACTGTTAACTTCTGTTTCTAGTGCGCTTGGAGGATCATCTGCCCTTCACATCCCAGCCTTTCCTGGTGGAGGTTGTCTTATCGACTATGTACCCCAAGTATGCCAGCTGCTGACAAACAAGGTGAGTTAGTAAAGAGAACTCAATTTTCCTTTCCCTTATGTGCTGTATTGCAGTCACACACTATAGATTTCCATAAACATAGGTTTGCTTCTGCCAGGTGGTCCAAGCAGGTGAACTACACAAAGAATATCTTGATAAGAGTCGAGCACCTACCCAGGCCATTGAATGCGATGACTTTCTTAGGTGAGCAAGCGTGTTTGGGATCAGATCCTGGAGTGGATTTTTCTTATTGTGACATGTTACGATTTAGGATAAAAAGTTATTGTATCGCACAGCACTGCATTGTAACATACTATGTTGCTAGTAAATACTAATGTGTAGTTTGCATATTATTTTTCCAGTTGGAAGATATCTAAGTTCTTATACCATGGTCGTCATTGTAGGTTTTGAGTACTTTTAGTGATTTTCTTAGATGTGTCATTCAAATGAACTGAATTTAGCAGTGCACTTGGGTGTTTATACAGTAATAGCTACTTAAGGTGGCTGAAAAGGTTGTGTTCCAGTTAGCTTACTGTTTAAACAAAAAAGAGTGAGTATAGTATTTTGAAAGCTTCTACATTATTGAAGTGTAATTTTCAAAAGAAAGCTTAGGGGCCATCATCTAGAAATCTGCCTGTTACAGACCTCCTATTTGTATTTGTGTATTATTTTTACCTTCACTTGTCCAAATGAGGAAAATCATTTTCTCTTTTAGAAAAAGTTCTTCAAAATATGTTTCCATAATTATATTGGAATCCATCTTTAGAGTTGTTTTTGTTGTGGTTTTCTGTTAAAATTACTTTCTGTTTTTAAAATCTGCAAGTACACAGGACTGTTTTTATCCTTTTTTAAACAAAGTCCCTTAAGCAAACTTATCGTATGTTTTCCTTTTCCCAAAATAACATTTCAAATCCCACACAAAGCCTTCAAAATAATCATAGTTTTTTATAAAATAAAATAAATCTCAATTTATAAATAGAATTCATTTTTAAGGAGTACAAGATAACAATCACTCTTGAAAGCTATCAAGGCGTTTTCAAAAAATTTAGGAAAGCATTTGCCAGCCAAGGAATTCTAGTATTGCCCTAGCCAAGAAAAATATTCTTCCTGCTCTTTTCATGTTCAGTGGGATAAAAAAGGTTTTTAAAAATGTTAGTTTTCATTCTAGAAGGCAAAGGGATTTACACTGGAATCGCATATGGAGCCATATACCCTAAGTACTTGACGTAACCAGTTGTAAACCAGATGCTCTTGCAGCCTGACAACACACGCATTGTTTCTGTTAGGGGTCAAACCCTGTTCACACTGTTTTGCTAAGTAATCCCATTCAGATCAATAAGAAAACATACATAGCGCGAGGAGAATTTTGCCTTAAGTCTTCCAAGTTTAGCATTGCTGGATTTTGTCTGCCAGGATGGACGTCTTTCAAAACGCAGAATGCCTCAGAAATTGATGCTCGCAGTTGAGTAGGTGGCTCCCTGAGTCAGCACGAAACCGCTGAGAGAGCTTAGTGTTAAGAAGATTTTGTTGGAGGTGCAGTCTTCAGAAAACACCCCAGATCAGTTGTGAAATACTTTTTTTTCTTTTCTTTTCTTTTATAACCAGAATGTTGTTTTGACACTTCACCAACTGTCAGTTCAGGTAATTATGATTTGCCTATCACGGCTTCCTGCTCAAACGTCAGCGAGGCAAGGTCATGCATTTCTTGTCTTCATTCTCGATTGCGCGCAGTTAAACAGCGCTTCAATGTATTGTGAAACACTAAGTTTCACTCAGAAGTGAGTGAAGAGTTTTCTTTGCACCGTTTTCAGTATGCGAGATTGACTGTTTGTTTTAAAGGCATTTTAGGATTCTTTAGGGAAACCATGCAAGCTGAATGTAGGATTCAGAATTACTACCACATCAAACATAAATCTTCCTTAACAAGGAATATATGACGAATTGTGAGCGTTGTCTTTTTTTTGTAACTCTGGATTTGTTTCTTTCATTCTTTTTTAAGGTACAATATGTTATTCAGGGATACCATAAGAGAAGAGAGTATATTGCAGCTTTCCTAAGTCACTTTGGAACGTAAGTTTTCTTTTGATGCGTTATTTTCTGTAACGTGGGGGAAAGTGCTGTCTTCTGCACGTGGTCTTTGGTTGTGTCACTGCTGGCCGCTAAAGAAGATGAAATCTGATCATTTTCCACAGAATGATGTGTATAGATTGTCTCTCTGTAGCAGTACTGGAACTAAATTCAGCATCACTTCTCTGCCAGTTGCCGATCTGATTTTACTAGAAAATAGCCGATGATGGGAAAAGGACAGTAGGGATTTTCTCCTTGTGCAAAAGAAATGTGTTCATTTCTGAATAAATGTCCGGAGGGATCTTACAGTAACAAGCAGCGGCTGAGGTGGGAGGACGGGGAAGTGGGTACAGTTCCAAGCCTTGCAGGAACCAGAAAGCACTGCTCGGCATAAAGGCAGGACTGGGAGACTGGCTGCTCCCACCGCCGAGCGGTATCTTGTCTCGAGAGAGAAAGGGCTGTCAGGTCGTGTTGAATTCCTGCAGTTCAGAGGTCCGTGCCCTGACATGATGACACATTAGCTTCACAACTCAGCTCGTCAGGGGTGCCTTGGCGCTTGGTTTCTCACCTAAATCCTGGCTTGAGCGAGAGTCCAGGAGCCGATGTGACAGCGCTTGCCTGACCCGTGGTGCTTTACCTCATTGTGGGGCAGGGCTTTCTGCTTCCAAGTGCTGATGCCAAGTGACATGGATATTCGGGAGCCCTTCAAATCTCAGGTCTTTCAAGTGAGGGTAGGAAGACAGGTGGCTTCTAGCATGCACCCAAATTTTATACAACTGTAGATGGGTAACAATAAGTTGGATTGGACATCTGAGCAGTTGGAGAGTTGGTGCAAGTCCTTAGGAAAACGAAGGTAGTTCTTTTTCTGCTGGGAAAACTACAGTGTGGAAATGGCCCCGGTGTGCTTATGATTTGATTTCACTTGAGAAGTGGTTCGTGAGTCCTGGTACTGCTCGAGACTTTTAGAGAATATCAGCTCCTGATAGTTCAAACTTTTCGTCTGTCTACTGAACAAGTGTTCTACATTCAATTTTTCGTATGCTCTCATACTTTGCTTTTTTTAATATATATTGTGTTTGATATTCAATTTGCTTTTGAATTTTCAAATTTAAATTCTTCTCGGCCTGTGCATTTTCAATTTTACCCTGTCACTTACTACAGAGTTAATAAATTATCTTATTCTGAGTAACATACAGGGAATTCATGTGTGTACAGTTTTTATCAATTTAGTACTGCAGATGCATTATCAGGTCTCCTTTCATTCTGAAGTGTATTTATATAAACTGAGTATGGCTTTTCTTGCTCCAATACCACAGCATAAATAACAATATTAAGATTAAAAGTTTAATCTCATTTTCATTTAGCTAGAGAATTGTAACTGTTAATAAATAAAGCAAATACTGGAAGTTTCTGAACAAACAAACAAAAATCAATCCTTGTAATACAGATTTTACGTATTTATCAGTCGGTATTAAAATGAATGGTGGGTAAAAATTGTATTTTTTTTTTTTTTTTGTGTTGGTAGTGGTGTGGTGGAATACGATGCAGAAGGCTTCACAAAGCTTACTCTGTTGCTGATGTGGAAAGATTTTTGCTTCCTTGTTCACAGTGAGTAACTCTTTGCCTCAGGCATAAATGTCTATCCTCTTGAAGATATAAGTTCAAAAGGGAAAAAAATACAATTACAGGAAACAATTTTAAAGTTTTAGCTATTTTTATCCAGTGCTTAATGTATTTTTGATGTGACCATGACACTTTGAAAACACAAAATTCTGATTGTATTTGAGAAGGGAAGAGGATCCCCATCGATAGCGAACTGCCTGCTTTACAGAACTGCCTGCTTTACAGAACGCCAAAAGCATCCTGGGAAGGTTTGCTGGTAATTTGACTCAAGATTAAGTTCACAGTTGTAACTCATCCTTTCAAAAGTGTCACTAATGAGGACCAATACTACACATAACCTGGGAATACTTAAAATCTTCTGTAATTTTCAGGAATTAGTGTATTGGTATGATAAAGACAATTTAGTGTAGGGGAAATATATTAAATGAGAAATAATGCTATACTGTCGTAAGGAACCAAAAGTTATTCCTAGACTGAAACTATCCTGCACTGAAAACTAACAGTTTGCTACAGTATATAGCTAGATTTGCTGTCATTTGAAATTTTTAAAGCAAGATTACTTTTAAAAAGACATTCTCAATTAAATAAATATACAGGAATTATTTCATATAGAAATTAGTTAAGTGTGGCTACTGCCTTATACGTGTTAAGTAGTAATTATTATTTTTCCCCATAGTAAGGTGATAGGTATCAAAGATATTTTCATCTGGGGAAATTCAGTCATGTTACTCTTTATTTTTGACTGTTACACTTCTCATCCTTGTTTAAAATAATTAGCTGCAACATTGGTGTTTGTTAACACTGTAGCACTGAAATATTTCATATTACATCAGTTTTGATTGTGGGCTAGCTTTTCCTGGTCAAAACTAATGATGTCTTAATGACATAATAGAAATTTGTCCCGGGGTTTTTAAAGCAAGAAGTGGGGATTGCCATTGTTCAGAGAAGTCCTTCACCCTGTGTAGTATTGGAGATCATCAAAAAATGGTCTCACTGATCACTTTCTCTTTATCAACTAAGATTTCCAAGCAGTAATGACCATAAGAGGTCTAGAAAAGTCAAACTTGAAATTAAAAAACTTCCATCGTATTAGTATGATTTACACTGCGGAAAAAAGAAATTGATAGGTTTTGAAAAATTGTTCTTATAACATCTTTACTTACTCGTCAGCTACAATTGAGAATTGCTCACGGGGCAGTTGTCTTCTATGAGATGGTGCTTTTTTATGTACAACCTTCTTGAAGATGCCCTACATTTCTTACCCCACAATGTGTTCTTCTTAATGTTATCAGTGTTAAAAGTCCTGTGGATTTGATTCTTGCTGCAGGATAATAGCTATAGCTTGGATGTTGAAACAGTTAGATTTCAGGGGAATCAAAATTCAAATTCCTATTAAATAACAAAGTAGGTTTTAACTGTGTAATATTCAGAGTGCTCAATTTAACTGGCACTAAAGCTACAATTATAACTGAATAGTTTATCACTATGTATTAACCCTGTGGCCTTAGAAATCATACATGGCTTAGCTATGTAAGCCATTGCGTCACCCGGTTGTTGAACAATCCACTGCAAAAACATTTATGTTCCATGCACTGGAGGATATTGCAATGAAAGGACCGAAACCTGTACTTCATTTCCTGAGTGAAGTAATGTAGGCTTTCATCTCTTAACCACTGACATAACTATGTATATTATGGTTGAATATTTAGCAAGCATCTAATAAAATGTCTGGGAGAGATAGCCGTAAGTTGAAAACTGTTCTACTTTATATATTTGCTATAGGATGTAGAGAAAGTATTCAGAGGAGAATAAATAGGTCAGTATATACCAAGCACCGTGGCAAATCAAATGAAAAGAACCATAGTAAATTTCACTGACATCTTAATTTTGGTTACAATTTTAGGTTTAATTGAGATTGTGAGATATAGAGACCCTAACATGAGTTGTATTTCCTTTAAAAGATGCATTCAGAGACTTCAAAAATAACTTTGGTGGTTTTTTTCAACTGTTGGCATTCTAAGTTACAGATTTGTTTGGAAACTAGGAAGCAGAACACACTAGAAGAAAAGTGAAATTATTCAGAATACTTCTATTGAGTAAATGGAAGTGGAAAGGAGAGGAGAGAAACAGGAAGGTAGTTCTGGATTACCGAAGTCCAGTAACCTTGGAACAATTTCGCTTGCTGAAAAAAAAAAAAAATATTATTTGTGCAGTAGTTACAGAATGAAGAGCAAAGTCTACCCGCTCTACTTTAAAACTCAGAAGAGCTAACTAATTGCAGACTTAATCATTAGATTAAGGTAGCTGCTAAAGTTATTATATTAGATCAAAGAGCAGTCAAAGGAACTGTTGCTTTAGTGGTTTAGTTCTAAAAATTGATGGAGTGCTTTCAAATATATGACAGAAGAAATAAACTTCCAGAGAAGTTCGTGCATCCACATGGAAGAGGAAATTGTTAATCAAGCTTAGTGCTTTTGATATCGATGCTCCTTATGAGTAAGTCTCAGTATGAAGCTTTGTAAGTAAACTTCAATATACTGCTGATTTCCTTCTCGTTTATAAATCATCTATGATCAGTTTTTGGAGATAGATATTTCTTCATATTCTTGTTGCTACATACATTCTGTGTATTTATAGTGTATATAAATATAGACTCAAGTTACATTATCTATGCACAATTAAGAATTAAGTAGCCTTATTGGAATGGACACAAGAACAGGAATCCAAAGCAACCTGTATATAGGCTTTTGATTTTTATCTCGTGAGATTTTTAGGTTATCGGCACAAAGGGGCTTGATAGAAGTTGGACTGGTTGCAGTAGGAAATGAAACACTGCTTGTGTTAGTGGTCTTTTGTTTAAGACAGCTTGAAAAGGACAGATATTAAACTAAAAAGGTTTTGTTTCATTAAACAACATTTCAGGGGACGGAGAATGTTGGAAGCTGCCAGCATTTGTATCTTAAGTTTGTATGGGATGTCAGACTTAGGAACACTTGCTGCCACTGACAGTGGCTAACTGTAACTGTAAGGGATATCAGCTTCTGTGTTGGGTGATAGCAGTGACCCAGGAGGTCCAAAGTGCTGGTCATGTAAAAGCTACAGCTCAATTAATGAGCTTTCTTGCTATGGAAGTGCCAACTGAAGTAGCATCTTGTCTACCCTCTTACCTACCTGTGCAGTTATGTGGTTACCTCTGTCAGAGAATAAATCAGAAATAGGCAGCGTCTCAGCAAGAAGGAGTTTCTTTACACAGGAGAGAGAAGCAAGCAAGGGGCCTAGAGCATTAATTGGGTTATAGGAGGTTATACCTGTGACTATCAGGATTTGGGCAGACACTTGCTTCTGGATTCAGGGGTTTTTGGTGGAAGTAATCAATGCCAGCTTCTGCTACATTCCTGTTTGGGTATTGCTGTCTGCACATGTTTGTCAGCAGAGCACTTTGTGCAGTCAGTTTACATGGTTTGAACTGATGGCCTGAGCTAAACAATTGGGGCTCACTCACATAAACCTCTTTTGGATCTGGATTAGCATATCTGCCCATAGCTTCAGAAAGCATCTTGGAAAATAAAGGTACAAACAAAGGAATTTTGGTAGCCATGTTTGTCAGATGGGGCTTGGTGGGGGGAATAGGACATGTTGGGAATGAGCATTAGTAGCTGGGAAGAGAAGTTTGCACTCCTGCGCAAAGAAAATGTAGTTTATTCCGATAGTGTTTGGGGAAAGAGGAATGTGTGCCCACTCACTGGGGCAATGCAAAACGAAATTGCATTGAAGAAGTAATTAGTTCTCTCAGTTCCCTTTCAAAACAGGAATGAGTCGTTAGGCTTCAGATATGGTTTTAAACATTCAGTAGAGCAACAATAATCCTTAGAACTTAGGTAAATGTTAGTTTTTCAGGCACCTGGTGTAGTTAAAGATGTTACCTGGCCCTTAAAGGAGATTACCCCACCTCTGGAAGGTCAACAGAACAGAGCTAATGAGCATTTGTCAGCCCCTTCATCTATTCCTGCAGCTGTTTAAGTAAACGAGTTAGACTTTGTGGTAGTAAATGGCTAGCAAGGAGGGAAAGTCTTAAATGGAAGATTTTTCCTAGATTAACATGTGTCTGAGTGTTTGCTGTTTGGGTTTAGGAGAGCTTATGTGAGAATCATAGAATGATTTGGGTTGGAAGGGACCTCAAAGATCGTCTAGTCCCACCCCCCCTGCCATGGCAGGGACACCTCCCACTAGACCAGGTTGCTCAAGGCTCCATCCAGCCTCCTTCCGGGGATGGACCATCCACAACTTCCTTAGGCAACCTGTCCCAGTGTCTCACCACCCTCAGGGTGAAGAACTTCCTTATATCTAGTCTAAACCTGCCCTCTCCCAGCTTCCAACCATTCCCCCTCGTCCTGTCGCTGCAGGGACTGTAAAATGTCCCTCCTCAGCCTTCTTGTAGGCCCCCTGCAGGTACTGGAAGATCGCTATAAGGTTTCCCCAGAGCCTTCTCTTCTCCAGGCTGAGCAAGCCCAACTCCCTCAGCCTGTCCTCGTAGGAAAGGTGTTCCAACCCTCTGACCATCTTGGTAGCCCTCCTCTGGACTCGCTCCAACAGCTCCATGTCTGTCTTGTGTTGGGGGCTCCAGATCTGGATGCAGCACTGCAGGTGGGGTCTCACCAGAGCAGAGCAGAGGGGCAGAATCCCCTCCCTCGACCTGCTGGCCTCGCTGCTTTTGATGCAGCCCAGGGTGCAATTTGCCTTCTGGGCTGTGAGCGCTCGTTGCTGGCTCATGTCCAGTTTTTTGTCCACCAGCACCTCCACGTCCCCAGCAGGCTGCTCTCAATGCACTCATTGTCCAGCCTGGATCTGTTCTTGGGACTCCTTGACCCAGGTGCAGGACCTCGCCCTTGGCCTTGTTGGACTTCATGAGGTTCACACAGGCCCACCTCTCCAGCCTGTCAAGGCCCCTCTGGAGGACATCCCTTCCCTCCAGCGTGTCGACCACA